TGCAGCTTGTAGGGCTGGAGTTTGGATCAGGAATACCCTTCTGATGTAAATTTACTGCCTAAGCTCATTTGCATAATGGAATTATAAATAGGAGTTTACATTAGGGAATCTTCGTGGAGACCAGGGAACATTGAGATGTGATGGAAACAGGTATTGGAGAAGAGATCAGAACAAAGGTGAGGTAAGGGCTCCTTTAGAGATTGTAGAGTTCCTCGTAAGATTGGGGGAAAATGTCTAGAATGTTCTCAAGTAAGTTTTCAAATCAATTTTTTGGTGTTCTGTGATGGCTTCTGTACACAGTACAAAAAAAAATAAAAAATTAACAATATTACAAGCTTTGAATATTATTATGAGGATAGATAACTTTGGAATTAGTAATTTTGTCTCTGCAGCACAGAGTCCTACTGATCTTGTCAGGTTGGTCATTCTTTATGGACGTGGAAGAGAAATAAGCAACTTTCAGACAAAAATCACTGTATTTTGGAAGATTTGATTCAACTTCAGGTTCAGAGATTCTCAGGGTTTTGTAATATCTGTGTCTGGAGTAGGGACTGGTTTCTCCTGCCTTAAAATATGCAAATGGGATGCTCTGGTGAGACCCACCTGGAGCTCTGGGATATGTGGAGGATGTGGAGCTGCTGGAGAGAGTCCAGAGGAATCCACAGAGATGTTCCAAGGGCTGGAGCCCCTCTGGAGCCAGGCTGGGAGAGCTGGGGGTGCTCACCTGGAGAAGAGAAGGATCCAGGGAGAGCTCAGAGCCCCTTCCAGGGCCTAAAGGGGCTCCAGGAGAGCTGGAGAGGGACTGGGGACAAGGGATGGAGGGACAGGACACAGGGAATGGCTTCCCACTGCCAGAGGGCAGGGATGGATGGGATATTGGGAAGGAATTGTTCCCTGTGAGGTTGGTGAGGCCCTGGCACAGGGTGCCCAGAGAAGCTGTGGCTGTCCCTGGATCCCTGGAAGTGTCCAAGGCCCGGTTGGACAGGGCTTGGATCAACCTGGGATAGTGGAAGGTGTCCCTGCCCATGGCAGGGGGTGAGGTGGGATGATCTTTAATGTCCCTTCCCACCCAAACCATTCCATGATTCCATGAGTTCCATTTGCCATGTCCAGGAGCATTTTCCCCGCCCTTTCACATGTTTCTCCCAAATTCTGTGTCATTTATGTCAGCCTTGTGCACACAAATGTCCTGGACATCCTCAGGCATCTCAAATGATCCCAAATAGGATAGTTTAATAGTTTAGTAGTTTAATAGTTCAATAGTTTAGGCAAATAAATAAATTCCTGGATGTTGAAGCTTCTGTGCAGCCAATGGAGACCTGGTCAGTGTGTTTAATCCATAATGCTGCTCATCCCTGCAAGCACCTGGGGTTCCATTCTGCTCTGTTTGTCTTGGAATATTTCAAATTTTTTTTATCTCTAAGAATGGGTTGCTTATCTCTTATCAGAGTAGCATTGTGCTTACATTATTTTAGAGGAATATTTCAGTTTATGCTATTTATTAGGAATATGCAAATTACAGTGTTGCCTATGGAAACACAGGGTCCTTGGTGACAAAAAACCTCGTACAGAGGATCTATAGGAGTATGGATCCATAAAGAGAATAGCAGGAGAAAATGGGTGTGGGTGCTGGAAAGGAATATAGATTCTATAATTTAATCCCCAATTGTTGGATTAATATTTTTAATAGGGATGCTTGAACATTTAAAGATTCCTGTCTCAATCTGTTTGGGTTTGAAGTTCAAAACCAGAAAAAAAAATAATTCTAAAATACCTTTTGAAATTCCAATTAAGAGTCAGTCAAAACTCATCACTATTCTTGTTTTTGTTTTGCAAATTAGCAATTAAAAAGTGACAAATGTCTTCAGTGCTAAAACACTCCTCTGCAATACCCATTATGTTCAAATAAGACTTTTTTTTTTCTGGGAACATGAGTGTGTTTCCCTGCATTTCCTTTTTTTCTTCCTCTTAGGAATGCCTCCAGAAGCTCCCTCTGTAACTCCAAAGCTGCACTCACTTCCCCAGTACTGGGGATTATGAAAATCACTTCATGAATAGTTTAAAATCACATTCATGTTTTCCAGTTTTAAATTATAATATGGGTGGCTTATTTTGCTTTTATGGTACTTTTTCTCTTTTTTTTTTTTTTTTTACTATTTTGTTTCCCCCTCTGAGTTTTTATTTAATTATTTAAATTTATTATTTAAATTATTTATTTCTTCAGTTTCCTTACTAAAGTAGTAATAATTAAGGGAAGGAAGCTTTTTTTTTTTCTTTGTACTACAATACCATGTGAAATCTTGAACTGAAATGATTTCTCTGTTTTGGTAATAATTGTCCATATTAACCATGGCTGGAGGCAGCCAATGCTCTGGAAAACAGACACTCCATGAGCTCACGTGTCTAATTCCAGAATATTATGTGGGATTTTATTGTTAATATTTCTCTCCTTATGACAATTTCTGTGTCGAACGTGGCACCACTTTAGCAGAATAACAAACATCAGCTGAATGGATTAATGCTGGGGAAAGCAATTTAGTGCTGGATTGTTGTAAATTATGTCTCTTTACCAGCAGGTTGTTTTATTATGACAAAGATTTCAATTTTATCTGTTCTCGGGGATGGGAGGATTTATTGTTTGTGTGAGGTGGCAGCGCACTTGAGAAAATGATGAGAGCGGTTCTTCAGGAGAATGAAATCCCTCTCTCCGGGAAAGGGCAGCACAATGAACTCAGGCATCAGCTGGAAGAGGGGAGAATGGAGGAGTCCATGATGGGGACACAGCTCACTGCTCAAATCCACAGGGTCACAGATTAGTTTAGGTTGGAAGAGTCCTACAAGATCAAGTCCAACCATCCCCCAGCTCTGCCAAGGCCACCACTGCCCCGTGTCCCCAAGTGCCACACACACAGGGCTTTTAAATCCCTGCAGGGATGGGGGCTCCACCACTGCCCTGGAGAGAGGGGTCAGAGATGATTATTAATGATAGAATCCCAAATAATACAGATCAGGTCATAGCCCTGATGACCAGGGATTTCAACAACAACATTAGGTACTTACTGAACATTGAAATCCCTGAAATAATACACTAAGAATGAGCATTTCTACTTTGTATCTGAAATTTGGCCTGTATCTGAACTCAAACCTGAGTTTGGATTGTCTCCTTAGTCTGGGGTGGCTCATTCACGCTCAGGTGCCAGCCCAGGAATGCGATGTGGAAGAGAATGTGCGTCTGTCCTATTCCTTGGCATGGACGATTTTGCTCCTTGGCCACCGCTCAGCGTGTTTGAACAGCCAGTGGTGGGTTGATAAATTGGCTCCAGAGTCGTTCCAGCGAGAGCCTCAGCCTCACTTGCTGTGGGGACAGATGGGATTTTAGGCAGCTGGAGCTCAAAATTCCTTTGGAATATTAAGGATGCAAAGCACTGAAGTATTAGAGTTGGGCAGAAGTTTGTTTTCTATGCATCTTGTGCAGATACAGATTTGGGATCTAAGGGACAACCCCCAAAAGAAGTTAAATCACCCTTGGAAGCAGTTTTGTACAGCCTTGGTGTGCCCAATTCCATGAGAGTTCGAATGGCCCCTCTGCTCTGGAGCCAGGCTGGGAGAGCTGGGGGTGCTCACCTGGAGAAGGATCCAGGGAGAGCTCAGAGCCCCTTGCAGGGCCTAAAGGGGCTCCAGGAGAGCTGGAGAGGGACTGGGGACAAGGGATGGAGGGACAGGACACAGGGAATGGCTTCCCACTGCCAGAGGGCAGGGATGGATGGGATATTGGGAAGGAATTGTTCCCTGTGAGGGTGGGGAGGCCCTGGCACAGGGTGCCCAGAGAAGCTGTGGCTGCCCCTGGATCCCTGGAAGTGTCCAAGGCCAGGCTGGATAGGGCTTGAAGCCACCAACCTGCTTTAGATTAGGAGCCCAAGTCCAAGAGCTCTTATTATCTCTGTAATCGGGGAACAATAACTGCAATTTCATCATCAATTTATGTCTTCTGCAGGAATTGTCCTCAGGAGGCTCCTGCCTCTTTCCCAGGATCTCCAGGAGCAGCCTTGGCTCTTAATTTCTGCAGCTTGATGAAGGATCATTTCTGTGACTTTTTAACCTGTCATATCTTCAGTGATATCAGGAGAAAACTCTCATGGATCACTGATTTCTGTGTATATAGAAATAGTGTATTTAATATTTAGTTTATTTTTACTGTCTTCATTTCAACTGTGTTAGAAAGGGAATAATAACAGGATGTTATCACTGAAAAGGAAAATTCATTGCTCCAGCTTGACAATACTGGAATCTCCATGGCACTCTAAATAAATAATTTAATAAATAGTCCCTTAAACATTTGTTTAACTAAGCCATCAGACAATTGTCAGTGTTGGTGTGTTTGCTTCTTAATTCCTTTAACCAGGAGAGGTTTTAATTTACACCCTTAAACTGTCTGATGTCCTTTGATAATTGGCTATGGGGGTGAATGACTACAAAAAAATCTTGTCTGAACATCAAATATCTCTGTGCATAAATTGTTCAACTGAAGCATTTTTCCCTTTATATAACATATAATACAATCCATTATTGCTGCCACCTCTGCCTGAAAGCAGAAAATTAAATAACTGTTTGCCATTAATACAAATTATTGTGTTTTGACAGCTTCCTAATCAGCTCAGGTAAAAATGGTGCTGTACAAACAGCACAATTGCCTTGTAAGGAACTTTTTTTTGGTGCCTGCATGAGAATTCTCCTTGTTCAGGCCTTGAGCCCTTCCAAGGTTTGCCCTCTGTGATAAATTGATATTCAGAAGCATAAATCAAGCTGTGTTTGAGTCGTGCTCTGATGCAGAGTGGATTTCTCTTTATAGTTACCCTATAAATAAACTTGGAAAACACATAACCAGCAGGTGCTGCCTATAGATGTTCCTTCCACTATGCCCTGTATCAATTAATATGCAAATGAGTGATTGAGTATTGGCAGATTTTGACCTGGCAATGTGTATTTTGTGCCCTTTTCAGGTATGGGCTGCTTCTGGGGAGCTGAGAGGAAGTTCTGGAGGCAGAAAGGAGTTTACTCCACTCAAGTGGGTTATGCAGGAGGACATACCCCAAACCCCACCTACAAAGAGGTGTGCTCAGGTGAGTCCTTCCTCTTTAGTTTTTTGAGGGTCAGGAGCAGAATCCTGAATTATTAATGACAACGAGGAGTGAAATGAGTGACTGCAGTGACTAAGGAGACTTGGGGTTGGCTTTACATCCTAAACTGTATTGGAACCTGTGGATTGCTGTCTCCTAATAATTAGTGAGTCAGTGTATGAGAAGATACTCTGTTCTGATTAATAATCTGTTAATTTCTCACATAGTTCAGTGCACAGCATCCTGTCATTTCCAGGCCAAACCCTTGCATTTCTTTTTCACTCTGCACTACAAAACCCCAAAGCAGTTTCTTTCTGAACCACAGAACCCCTGGCAGCCAGCTAATGCTGCTGGTGGAGAAAATCCTGGTTTTCCTGGACTCACTTGGAAGTTTTCCTTTGGTCTATTTTCTTGTTAACATTTTTATGGCAAATGCTGATGCTGGGGCTTGTTCTTAGTGACAAACTCTCACGTGGGCTTCATGGAAAGGGTGTGAAAAGTGACACGAACAAGTAATAATGGACACTTGAAGCCCTGTGCAGAGGTGCTGCAAGGCAGCCAGAAAGGCAGAAACTTGCTGGGAATTGTGAAAAGTGGGAAAAGGGATGATTTAAGGTGGAACAGAATGGAATGGAATGGAATGGAATGGAATGGAATGGAATGGAATGGATATAGAAATAAAAATGGGAAGGGAAGGGACGGGAAGGGAAGGGAAAAAGGAAAGGAAAGGAAAGGAAAGGAAAGGAAAGGAAAGGAAAGGAAAGGAAAGGAAAGGAAAGGAAAGGAAAGGAAAGGAAAGGAAAGGAAAATTGAATAGAATGGAATTCTAGAATGGAATAGAATATTGAATATAGAAAATTGAATAGAATGGAAAATTCTTTTTCCATTTTCTGGTGGCAGCCATGCAGAGGACAATCTGAAAAAGCCTTCTGGAGGGTGTGCAGGATTTGGAGCTATTTTCAGTGCGTTCCCCTAATACATAAATACACCATTTTTGGCCAGCGTTAGACAACCCAGGATGTTCATTCAGCACCAAACATCTTTTCATATTTTGCTTACAGATGTTCAGAACAATTCTGTTGCTCTGTATATTCATCAGCTTTTAGAAATCTGCATAGCTCAAGTGGCACTGAAATCAGAAGGGAAGAACTCTGCTGTTGTTATTCATAAACTGGGGATGTACAATTACCATATAAAATACACAGCTAACGATAATTTCCTTAAAAACAGGGTCGTTTATAGGCTTGTGGTTCAGGCTGTTCACGTGTGAGGAGGTCATCTGAGTTTGCTTTCAGTTGTTCCCTTTGTTTATCTTCAGTGACTGAAATGTAAGGAAAAATAAAACATGTCTGGTTATTAGATGATATTAGTTAGAAGGCTGAGATTTAGTGAATTAAACCGATTTATAATCTTGTCAGTTCTCATCTTTCTGGGACATTTTCTCTCGTGCACAAATCACAATTTCTAATAATTAACAATTCAATATAAAAATGTGCCACACAGACTTTGTTTCTGCTCTGAGTTATGTAAAATATTTGGCTGTGAAGTTGTTTCACATCTCCTAAGCAGCAAATTAATGTTTTTCTGAGGAATACTACTGCCTCTTGCATAAGAATTAGTCTTTTGACTGATTCTTCCATATTGGATTTCCAATTCTCCTTAAAATGTCTTGGCTTCCAAAGGTCACCTGGAAGGCTTCTAAATAGCTGATGGGAGAGAGTGGAGGAAGGGAAAATTAATTTTTTGCTCTGTTACCTCCTGTTCCCGTGGTCAGCTGGTGATTTCCCAAGTTAATTCCAAAAGCCCAGAGCAGGGTGGGGATTGGGATGTTGATACAAAAGGGTGGAAAGGTGTGAGGAGAGTCTGGCTGGGTAATGTGGGGTTAACTTTACATATTTGTGCATAAACTGTTGGTATTAAAGGCAACAATGGGAAATCTGATGGGAACTTTTCAGAAGTGGTTGATGGCAACAGAGAAAAAAATGTAATATAGGAAAGTTCTTGGCTTCTCAGATTTGTCTTCCCTAAAAATACAGAAGAATGTCCCGTGGAAAACTAGCAGCATGTTCATGGAGTCCTGGAATCTTTCAATGATTTTGGGTGGGAAGGAACATTAAAGATCTTCCAGTTGCATCCCCTGCCATGGGCAGGGACACCTTTCACCATCCCAGGCTGCTCCAAGACCCATCCAGCCTGGCCTTGGACACTTCCAGGGATCCAGGGGCAGCCACAGCTTCTCTGGGCACCCTGTGCCAGGGCCTCCCCACCCTCCCAGGGAACAATTCCTTCCCAATATCCCATCCATCCCTGCCCTCTGGCAGTGGGAAGCCATTCCCTGTGTCCTGTCCCTCCATCCCTTGTCCCCAGTCCCTCTCCAGCTCTCCTGGAGCCCCTTTAGGCCCTGCAAGGGGCTCTGAGCTCTCCCTGGAGCCTTCTCTTCTCCAGATGAGCACCCCCAGCTCTCCCAGCCTGGCTCCAGAGCAGGGGGCTCCAGCCCCATGATGAATTTGTGACTCTCCTGATGTTCAGACGTGGCCTTGTATTCCTTGTAGAACCCTTCAGCTGGACACCACAACACTCTTCCAAAGTGGCTCTGGTTCTCCAAAGTGTTTAAATGTATAATTAAACTACAAATATTCCCTTCCCTTTCTCTAGCTTGTAAAGGGGATCTGAAGGTTTCCATGGACAGGAACTAAGTCCACAAGATTAAAGTTTCCAAGCAGTAATGAGAGTGGCTCAGAACATTTTCTTTTGTTATTAAATTGCTGTCAAGAGAATAGATTCCTGTTGTGCCTTTGTCTGGTCTTTTTTTTTTTTATCCTTATAAGAACAGGATATAGGAATTTTAATGACTGAGAAGGATATCAGTGTTCACCATGCCCTTGATCTGTGCCTTGATAGGATTGGCCAATTGCTCCACCTCTCCCCTTTTTTTTTCCCCCCCAGTTCACCTGTGAGAAAGGAAGGAGAGGTCAGCCAAAGTGTAAAATACTGCATCAATCAAAAGTTAATGTCATGAACTGTGGGAATTACTGTTTTGTGTATTTTTTGTAGCAATTGAAGAACAGGATTTTGTAGAAAATCTGTAATTTTTGTTAACTAGAACAGTTGGAACAAGTTGTGTCTCTGCAATCATGAGATTATCGTCCTAGGATCCTCCTGGATGTGCATCTAAACCTTGATATGACCCCAGAAACTATAATTTGTCCTCCATGCAATTGCTAAGTCATGAAATAAAATGAATGTAGCAATTTCACTTCAAAAATCATTTGGAAAGGTGATGGCAGATGCTGCTGCAACGATCAAACCTTGGCAACAAGAACCCAGCAGATGCACTGAATTTCACTTACCTGCTCCTCTGCAGCTTTACCTCCAAATTTTCAAAGCTGACACTACTGAAATTTTTTTTTTCAGCAGAGAAGGTGACCAAGAAAACTTTATTACGCCTTAAAATCCAGGGTGCAGGAATGGAGTCTGTATATTTGTCATTTAAAAATGAAAAGCAGAATAAATATTTACTTTTTCTGGTAAATAAATGGTAAATAAATTTGCCATTACATGTAAAACAAAAAGCTCCTTGCCCATAAGGGATGGCAACAACTCTGCTGAGGGAGCTCTGCTCCATCTGTAATCAAGGTTGAATTCACTTTTCCATCTCAGAACTTGACTTCTCAGGGTTAATGTCTTGTCTGGTTCAGGCTTGAAGAAACCAAAGTGATATTTATTATTTAGATACCTGATTTTTGCCTCCTGGCAAATTTAAAATCCTAACAGCCTCACTGCTGTCCTCTGCTCCTTTCATCTGTTTATCCCAGCATTGCCCACAATCACAGGTTTGGCTTGTAGCAGCAATATAAATACCAAATATATTATTTATTATTAACAACTTTATTTGAATTGTATTCTGCTGAGATGTGTTGTTTCCATCCTTCCCATCTCCTGCTTTATTAAAGATATATATAAGATGAGAGTGTGGGAGCCCCAGAGGTTGAAAGAGCCATTACAGAGCAAGTCAAAGACAAAATCTTCTGACCTGGAGCCTACAGGGAGCTCCCAAAGGAGCTTCATTTCGACAGGAGACTCCGTGCAGGGTTGGGCTGTGACATTCCCCGTGTCACTGGGCCTGAAAACAGAAGATGCAGCACAGAGCAGCTTCTTTTTAAGTATCAGAACATCTTGTATTTGTGAAAATGGTGTTGTGAAAAAAGCTCAGTGCTGTTGTTGTGGCCAGTGGGGGGGTTCCCTACTTTGGTGGGATTTTTTTTTTTGTTTGTTTGGTTTTTTTTTGTTTGCTTGTTTTGGTATTTAATTTAATTTAATTTAATTTAATTTAATTTAATTTAATTTAATTTAATTTAATTTTATTTTATTTTATTTTATTTTATTTTATTTCATTTCATTTCATTTCATTTCATTTCATTTCATTTATTTATTTATATATTTTTTTTTCCTGTGGAGACCTTGTAAAAAAAAAGTAAGCTACAAAGGCAGTAACTCAGTCTGTGCTGAAACTGTGCTCCCAGAATTGGTGGTTACTACAGGTGGTAGATATTGGGAATAAATCCTTCCCTGTGAGGATGGTGAGGCCTTGGCACAGGTTCCCAGAGAAGCTGTGGCTGCCCCAGGATCCCTGGAAGTGCCCAGGGCCATGTTGGACAGAGCTTGGATCAACCTGGGATGGTTCCCATGGCAGAGGAGGTGGAAAGGGATGAATTCTCATGTCTCTTCCAACCCCCTGTCTATGAAACCAGGGAGGAGCTCTTGGGAGATCATGACTCTGGAATTACAGCAGCTTATGGAACGTGCTGGTATTTCCCCTGCATTTCTTGTTTACTGTGGTTGTGCTCCTGTTCTTTTGCTGCTCCTGCTGCTCATTCTCCCAGGTGAAATCTTCCCTCCTTTCAGGCACAGGACTGACATGCTGTGGTGTCAGTGTGGATGTGTCTGATAATGTATTTTTCCTGAAATTGGGAGAGCACTGCAATTACTCTGTGCAAACATCA